CTCCAGAAAATTCTATTTACATAATAGGCATTCAAATTCGTTTTTATTACTTTTTAAGGTTATTTCTTGATGAGAAACATCTTAACCAATTTTTCAAATTCTCCATCCCAGAATTCCAGGATTATTATTTTTAGGTTTATGGCTCCAAATTATTCCGTTCTTGCCTGTAGTTGTGATGAGGCTAGAAGTTGAATATTATTCTAGCATGTGACATTCTTCTTAGTATCCCATTTAAACAAGTTACTTTAACACCCAGAAAAAGTAACCGGCCATTTCGCTCTATCCTCGATGTGAAATTTATCCTATTATCAATCTGGCTTATGAAATTCAGGAATTTATCCTAATTTTCTCTTCCATTCTACTAAAGTGCAAAGATATTTACCAAGTATCGCATTGACACTCTTTGTTGTGAAGGGGATTCTTCACATTTTTCCTCTATTTTGTTCATGATTACGTTTTCAAGAAGGGGCAAGATCGGAGCTTCCATTGGAAGTCCGAATATATGTTCACATAAGTGTTTATTTCTTTGAATGTGAAGTGGGTAGAGCTTATTCTCAAAGTGATCAGTCATGATAGTTACTCCTTTCATATTTGCTCTGCTTCCAGGATATCCTTATTATCTCCAAGATCTCCATTATTGCCGTTAGTTCATTGCCTCCAAGGGACTATGTTACCCTAAACTTACCAATAATTATATTCATTTCAGTCCCATGTTTTTTATCCTTAAATAAATTCCTTTGAATGTTTCATTGTGTTTTATAGCATGCAGTTTAACTGCTCGTATTTCTAACATTTAGATTTCGCGAATATGTGTGCTTCCCCACACCTGTTGTCAATTATCAGCCTGCTGTTGGTCTCACATTCTTGTTTATTGTAAAGTTATAGTCCATACATCGATTTCTCCCTTACTATGTATATATTCAACATGCCACGTAGTGTTGAGTTGACCTTCATAGTAAGGTCCCTCTTAAGTAATATTTATTTGGCCCTGCTTTGAAACATAATTTCCGTCTTTACCGTGTTTCGTGCCTGTCGATTATCACTGTCGCTTATTGTTTATCCACCTAAAGGACTAGTGGACCATTTATCAGTAGAATTATGTACGTCCTTGCCAATCGGCTCTTGCTCGATGCTTCTTGATGCGGTAATATTCTTGGAGTTAATTCCATGTCTATTTCCTGTTTTGGCTACTGATGGAAATTTTTTTACAAACTTATAACCTTGACTGAGATGTATTATAAAATTTGCCTTCTTGCTGGGTGCAAGGAGTGAAGATACTCACAAAAATTGCAAAACACTATATCAGCAAAACTTCTGGAAGTGTAACAAGTTAACGGTACAGCGCAGGAAATAATTATTAATGCAAAGTAGTTCGAACAAGATGCGCTAAAATTGATCGACCTGGCAGCACGAACAAATTGCCACAACGAGGTCAAACAACTGTCCTAATACGGGTTCAGAAATTCATGTTTAACTAGGAAGGGGTATTGCAAATCTTATACACGTTTTAGGTATGCAATGCATTTTTGTATTCCAAAAATACTGCTTGTTAGATCTCGCCGTTTTAATTAACATATATTTAGGCCTCACAAGTGATTTAATTTGTTATGAGCGATTCTCTGTTTAAAATTTAAATTATAATTTATCCATATTCTATTCTGCGTCTCTTAATTTAGCCAAACCTTGTTTTATTTCCCTATTTATGCGCGCGCTACTTGTTTGCTCTGCGCGTAATCTCCAATATGCTAGGAGCTAATCCTCAGTTTCTCAAACTTCCTGAGTCAGACGAAGTGACTTCTTCAGAATTCGATTCACTTATCGATGGATCTGAAAATGTAAGCTATAAATAAGTGCCTATGCTCTGATCCTTGGTACCGGCGTTTAATTAAGGGATTTATTAATATAGTTTGCTACCGATATTTTTTCTCATAGAGGAACTCTGCAAATTTATAATGTTATTGTGCATTTCAGACAATTCAAAATCATCAAAGCTCTCCTTGGAATTTTAAATTCTATCAGAGCTTCTTTGACGTTGATACGGATATAGTAAGGTTTCTCATTATTCGCGAATTCAGATATTGCGCCGCCTAGCTTATTCTGTAATACCATGTCAAAAACAAAGCATCCTTGCTGAAATTTCAAAACCAAGGATCGATTTATACGGGCCATTCTGGGTCATCACGACACTGATCTTTGTCATTTCGCTGGGAAGCGATTTAACAGGTTTCCTTACCCATCAACGCTTTGATTCCGATGGCTGGCATTACGACCTCAGAAAAGGTGCCCTATCTTATTCAAATATCCTTCAGTTTATAGCATTTTTAACTTCTTTCTTTTTTTTCTTCCACCAGTCACAATTGCCGCTATTGCAGTATATTCGTATTGGTTCATTGCTCCTACGATTCTCTGGTGCACCTTACACTTTTCCAAGTTTAGAAAACCGAGCGAGCCAGAATATAAGCAACTTGATCGGTCTGATTATGATGCTGAATCTCTTAGTTCCAGGCCTTGTGCTCAAGATTCTATCCTCTCTTATGTCCACCTTTTGTCCGTATGTGGCTATGCCTTGACAATTGTCGTTCCAGTTTCGGTGAGACATATTTTCATCTTTGTGTCCATATTCATTCATTATTTTAATATGCTTGGTTTATCATTATGATTGAATATTTTCATGCTAGTCCTGTTGTCCCTTTGGTCTTGTTTATTATTGTTTTGTCTTATCTTTGAGGAATATTTCTTAATAAATTTCAAAAGCTATTAGACTAATTTTTGATATCATTATTGCTTTACTTGCATCTAATTTTTTTATATTTATCCTTTTTCTTTATATTCGCTTAGCTAATATCTAAATATTCGGCCTGAAACTACCTGTGAGAACAACGTTTAGTCGATTGTTTTTGCATAATAATAAATGACAGTTTTCAATATGGGTTTCATGTGAGAGCAGTTCGAATTTAAATTCAATGGCATGAAACGCACTTGTTTTATTTCAAGTAATTGAGTGTCACGTCTGGTCGTCTTGCTGTCAGAGCAACAGCTATCCAGGTTTTATATTCTTAGAAAAAGCTAAATAAAAATTAAGGCTCCGTTTAAAAAAAATTAAGTACGTTGGTCTGAGTTTTGTTAGGTGCGAGGAATACTTTAAGTCGATCTTGCTTTCTATATATTCCAAGCATTGATATCAACAGATTTCTAACTGTCCTTCATTAAATTGCCGTGTTTAGTCATCACTAGTTTTCACAATTCACTAGTCCAATATCTGATTTTTGCCATTAAAACGTAATTTCAGCTTATTATCTGTATTTGCTTATCTATATGCATTTCAGTTCTTCTGGATTCTTCCTTTTTCCCCCCTCCGTTGGTCGCTCACTTTGTTGTCTTTGCTGGTTTCCGGCTCAATATTGGCTCTTGTTATTTGGCCATCGTTAAGATCGATGCTACAGGTGCATGTACGTTCTTTACATCTGTCCCTTGTTGCATTCCCCACTTCTCCTCAGATTCGTTTTTTTATGTCTGATTTTTTATCTGAATCGATTTACCTCAGATAAGTTCAAGAGCCGTAAAGACCCAATCGAACAATACTCCATTATCTTATTAAAAAGCCGTCACGGACTCCTCAATAAGCCCACTATCTCTAATATGTCGTTGATTGATAACTCGATGCGGGGCCACTCGCCTCGTTGCTTAGCAATCCAACTCTTCCTGGGGTCGGTTAAGGCGCTTACAAAATTAATATATGCAAACTTAATTACCATAAGATGATAAACGCTCATATAGCATCGGATATCATATATATGTTGTTACTTAGAAGGATCATCTAGGCAAAATGATAGCGATAAACCTAAATATTCTTTTTTAATTAAGATTTCGAGACTTCATCGACTTCCACAATAGAAAGTCATTGGAAAGGCCTGATCTTCCTTTGAATTCACATCTGCTCTGCCTCAATGATACTAGTGGTGGTGACAGTGGCTAACGTGTCGAGATTATACGCCGTATTATCACAGTTCGAGTCCCGCTTCAAACCTAGGCAAGGTCAAAATTGCGGTCCGCCCGGGTGATACCATCCGGGGAGCAAGGATATACGAAATTCAATGGAAGCCTGAAGCTTTATATCAGTGGGAAAATTCAATTACCAGTCTTTAGTAACCCTAGACAAATACAGTTTTCGCTCAGAGGTGTGCATTACCCGGTTGAGATACAATAAATACCTGTCGACACTTATTTAAGCGTCTTTCTAATCCCGCAAAAAAACAATTGATCAGTGTAGGTATCGCTTTAAAAATCTGTCAAAATGATTTTATTAGGAGAATGAGACAAAGTAAAAAAACATATCATCCCCATCGTAGTATGACTCTCCATTTCGAAGGGAAAGTTGGTTGGAAGGAATTTGTGATGTCTCACCGGAAACTGAAGGAGGACTATCGAATGAGGAAGATTGTTGGATTGTGCGGAGAAGTCCTCGGCTCACCGTCCTGACACTCCGATGAAACTTTGCTAACCTTTCGTCTGTACTATGACAGACATTAAAGCAAGATTCCATATTTTACGAAATAGAGCAAAAATACACAAAACCAAATGGTGGCTGGCTGCAATTCTAGTCGCTTTTTATACACCTAACATCGATATCTTAATGAAGCCTTCCCTGATCTGGTTTGCTTATTTCAACCTCAATACATTCTTGCAAATGAGTGAAGTTAACCTCCCGAATCGGAAATGCGTTCGGTGGCAGCTGTTTCATCACACAAAACTAGCGTACGAACGCCTAATGCTGAATTATGTTTGGGCTTGTGCTATTGTTTATTGTGTGTATGTAATGCTCGTATCGTGGGAAGTGTGGTAGTCTGAGCTAGAAACTAGGCTAATCCAGCCTTCTCTTGCTCAATGGCTCTTCCTGCACCCTCTCTCTACATTTCCTTAAGTCTATCCAGCAGCCACAAAAATTCCTAATTAGTTTTCTGCACTAGTTTCTCCTATCCAGGACGTTGGCTGTTTTGTTAATTTATCTAGGCTCCCTAATCTTACACTTTTGCCGTGAAGTCTCCGTAACCAGCAAAACGTGCTTTAGACTAGTCTTTTAGTGCCCTGTATTGTCGAAATGTGTTCAGCGAGGTCATATTTTAGGACCCACAGACCTTTACAAGCAATTCTGTATTTGCATAATATCTTGTGAATAGGTCTGCAGGCCTCCCCCACATATATCTTACCACATGAGCACAAAACCTTGTAACAGCCGGATCAAGAATTAGGGTCTGAATATTCTCTAAACAAATGAATTACTAAATAAAATGTTAATTTCTCTTTATACATTGTTTTATGTTCCATTTCCTCAGTAGTTCACCCAACATTTTCGCAAACTGACAAGGAAAAAATATCAGGAATCAAGTATAATTGTCCACTTTTCTACTCCGCGCCTGATAGCAAACTCCCTTAATCTTGCTAATTACGATTACTATGTAATTTTCTACTAATCCTAATGGGTAATTGCTTTGAAACAGTATATCCACCTATCTACCAATCGCCTGGTCCCTATGGTTGGCATCTGCTAGATGCAGACTTCTTAT